CCTGCCCCGCGGGCGCCACCATTCCCATGGACCTCTGGAACTTGGGTGACGGGCTGCTGGCGGAGGATATCGAGGAGGTGCTCAAGGCCAGCAGGCGGGGGGAGTCCACACACTCCTCCTGCCACAACTGGCGGAGGGCGGCCACCGCAGACTCAACCGGCAAGGGGGTGTACGGCGGGTTGCCGGGTGCTGCTGGGCCCCCTGTGGTGCCGTTGTGAGCTGCGGCCACTGCGGCGCTGATGGGCTCTGATGCGGAGTTGGGGGAGATGGGGGATTACCCGGGGGGGGGGCGGCGGGGCAGAGGGCCGTTGGAGGCCGTTTTGGAAGGGGGGGGGTTGAAACTCATTTGATGATGCCCCCTAAGGGTGGGTGAAATGTCGAAGTGGAGAGTGGGGTAGTGGTGGTGGGTTCCTTTGCGGAGAGGGATTGGACGACGCAGAGGACGACGTGAATGACTGGGCAGGTAGGAGTGGAAGTGGGGAGTGGGAGTCTGGGTGCGAAAGTGAATCGAAGTAACTGCCGATGTCCGGTTTTGGCCATCGGGGAGGGGTGAGATTGTTGAAATGGGGGCAGGAAAGTCCTCCTCCAAGCCTTCTTTTTGTTCTACTTCTACCTTCTCTCGTTTTTCCTTCCTTCCCATCGCCATGTTTGAACTTCTGATCACACACACATAGAGCACACCATAGAGCACACATAGAGCACACACACACAAATAGAGCAGCGCACCTCTCCTACCTCGGCTCCAGCTTCCCCAAACCTCTCCCCCTCATTCCCTCTCCCACCGCCCCACCATTCACCACTCACCCGGTTCCAAAGCCCCCCGGGGTCCCCCAGTCGTACACCCCAGCACAAACGCCAGCCGGTCCAGTTCCCGCTCCGAAACCAGAGCACCCGGCTGGGGGGGCCAGGACTCAAGGACCAGCTCCACTGCGGGTTTCAGGTTGCGACGGAGGTAGTCTCCGAAACCACGCATGGCCATGATCTGAGCACGGAGATGCCCCTGGAGTTGCTGACGTAGCAGGCTACGGCCTACAAGGTGTACGATGTGTGTGTTGTGTGTGAAGGGGGGGGAGAGGTACGAGGGGATGAGGTTCCAAAAATCCGGGTGCGCCAATGCAGGAGGTAATCGTAGTAATAGCAGTTATAGCAGCAGTAGTAGACTAGTAGTGGTGATGGTGGTAGCAAGCGAGCGAGATGGCGGCGGCCAATCAATCGGCTCAACTGCCTGTACGCCATCATACCCACTTCACCGCGCTACCTGCATGCGCCCCGGCCCCCTCGTCGCGTCAGAACCGAGCCGGGGGGAACGAGTATCAAATATTCCTCCCGATATGCCTCCCCCCTACACACTCCAACTGTGCTAGTGCTGGAGCTAGCTCTCTCCCGCGCCTCCCAAGCCCATCTGCGCTCCTCTCCCACGCCCAACCCCCAGACCGCTATCCCCCCCTATCCCCGGCTGACCACCCAGCCACAGCGCCCATTCCTCCACAAAAGACATATTCTCTCTCTCTGGCTTCCCTCCGCCTCATCTTCCCCCACTTCCTTCCTTAAGGAAGGAAGTCATTCCCCTTTGCCTTTTGCATCTAACTCGCCTCCCATCTCCGCCTCACTCCTTCCCATTCCTCCGGGCAGCCAATCGCCATTGCCCTTCCACATGTCCCGTCTCGTCTCTCACCTCCCGGCTGCGATCGACGCGTGGGCGACAGCAGCTCCTGTCCCGCTCCGAAACCACCCACCCCTCCCCCCGCCGCCACCGCCGCCGCAAAGCTGGTGCTGTTGGGGTCGGGCCAGTACTCCACCGCATCCGCCCGCTGGGACTCCTTGCAGAAGAGCTGGGCCAGGAGGTACAGGGACAGCTCGTGAAGGTAGATATCCTCCTGGCCGAGCTGCGGTGGTGGCTGGGGCTGGGCTTGCTGCGGTCCGGTTGCGGTGGCGGCTGAGGTGGTGGTTGAGGTGGTGGTAGTGGAAGAGGGAGGAGGCGGGAAGGAGTTGGCAAAGGAGAGCGCCGCGAGGACTTCAGTCAGGACGTCTACTTGGTGGGTGGTCAGCTCCAGGGTTTGTGCCACGTCAGCGGGCGTCACGATGCCTGCGGAGGGGGGAGAGCGGGGCCAAGGCCGTGGCATCGCGCATGGATGAGGGGATGATGGATTCAGAGGTAGATGGGTTTTCCGGGTCCATTCAGGGTCCATAAGCTGTGACGCAGGGAGAAGAAACGGGTTTGGGGATTTGGACTAGGGAAGGGGGGTTGAGGAACAACGGCCAGAGCAGGCTAACTTTGGGAGAAGGCGGGAGATGAGAACGTGGTGTGAAAGAGAGGGGAAGAGAGGAGCCAAGGCAGAAGGGTAGTAGTGGTGGTGATGATGATAAGAGCGGTCAACGGAGAGGGGGCTGTTGGGGGTGCGATGGCAGTCCGCAGTCAACGACGTTTCTTTGGTAATCAGGGCAAAGCGAGGAATCGGCTTGTTTCTGTGGGCAAACACAAACCCATGAATATGTTGGCTTGAGCTATTATAATGCGGGTCCAAATGGCGCAGGGACGAGTACTGCGCAATCTAGCCCGCTGAGCACCATTGTGTGGAATCAGTGCAAATACGTCGTGGTGTTTGAAAACAATGCAGATTGAACCGCGATGACTCACGTTGGCCGTGCCGGCCGGTCTTGCTGCGCGCGAAAAGTTTCCCATGGAAGGACAATAGCGATTGGACGCCGTCCAGTTGGGGACAGAGAGACTGAAGGGGAATACTGCCATACTCCCAAACTTCCCTCCTCGGCTGCATGTTCTCGGTGACGTTGGGGCAGGACAGATTGAACCCTGCAGCTTCCACTCTTAGGTGCCAAGTTGCGCTGCCATTCTTACCACGTGTGGATATTTTTTTATAAGTGTTTAAAGGTGTTGTCCCAATGGTCTGATAAACGAGGCTCCCTTCCTCCGAAAGCGCTAGAGAACTCACAGATCGTTTGAAACTACCTCAGGCTCCTCATGCAGCCTGCAGCTAAAAGTGCATAATTTCTAGAATCATACCGAGTTGTATAAACTTCATTTCGTGAGGCGTACCCCCTATGCCCATCACCATCGCGGTAACCAATGCATTCGCCCATTTAAATAAGAATGCTTGTTGGCCCCAGACATTTCTGACCAAGGGACGTATAGCGCTACATCTTACCCTACGTGTTATGCCATACTTTTAATCTGACTACTTACGGGACACTCTAGTGCTAGCCACGTTTTGAAGCGATACAAATCTGGGGTCTCCGACCTGGTTGACCAGTTCATAATTGACTTCCAGTTAGTAGTTTATTATTTACTACAGCCACCGCCTGTGGTGCATAGCGAGGCGTAAGGCAAAGCGTCAACCTCCGTTGATCCCCTACGCCGAGGCGCAAGCCTAGCTTTGTAACATGGCGTCAGTCTACGAACGAATAACTAACGCACTGTCGTCGCTGGGAAAGCGTCGAGAAAGAGACAATGGTGCTGAAAATGGCGGCCGGAGCTTTTACACAACAGGGGACGGCCACGGCCGCGCTCCCAAGCGCTTCCGGCCCTGGGAGCAGTCCGACCTGCATCGCCGGCTTGAAACATATAAGCCTCTGACATGGTTTTCAAAGCCTGATACAGTTGGACCGGTGCCATGCGCGCTGCGGGGTTGGATAAATGATGCCGTCGACAGCCTTTGCTGCGAGCATTGCAACGCAAAGCTTGTTTACCCGCCAAACGTCTCCTATGACCAACGCCAGGCGGCAGCAGGTGCGCGATTGCGGCTCGCTCTAGCAATTCTCGGGGCCCTTTACCCGCTGCCAGTGACACTCCCTGCTGCCGCTTCCGCTGTGATCGTATTTCCCCTTCTAATCGCAGACCTCTTCTCACCCTCCCTGACCACCAAGCACAACGCCTCGTGCCCCTGGCGCCAAACTCAGTGCAACCCCTCGTTGCTGGCCTACATCCCCAACACCACGAACGACGAGCTGTGCCAGGTCTTCCAAACGCTCCAGGGAAAGCTCCTCAAGGTGGATGTCTTGCCGGAGATCGACGCAATCGCGATTCAGGCTTTACGGGGCGCTGCAGCGCCGTACGGGTCGTACGACGACCTAGTCATGCTGGGAATTGATGGCGGCGCCGTCGGCGGCACCGGCACGCCGACGCCGCGTAAGCGCACGGTGGTTCGCATCACGGACGTGACAGAGGGGTCTGACGGCGGCGCCGCAGCCGCCGCCGGGATGGCGGCGGTCGGGTCGCCCTTGTTCTCGGATGGGGAACAGTTTTCAGCCGGCGGCGGCGCCGCAGCCTCGCCAACTTACATCTTACAGCCGTCAAAAATGACGCCGCAGCAGAAGGCTCGGCTGCTGGCTCTAATGGGCTGGGACATTGACGTGCTACAGCCGGACTCCGCTAGCGGCTCTGGCGCGCTGCCGTACACTCAGTCCGCAGGCTACAGCTTGCAGCATCTAGGCGTCAAGCCCAAGAGCGCCTCGAAGCCCGCAGTTTCGGCGGCGACGGCGGCGACCGCCGCCGCCTCCGACCGTGAGCGCTACCCGATGTCCTCCGTCGTGCTCAAATGCCCGCACTGCAATTGCCGTACAGGGTTGTGGAACTTTGCCGGTCTGCGTCCGGTGCCGACGGGCAGGCTGACGCCGTCGCAGCAGGCCGCAGGCGTAGCGGCGCTGCTCAGCCCCCGTGCCGGCGGCGCGAGCAGCGGCGGCGGGGCTATCAGCGCCGTAGCCGCCTCCGGCGGCATCGGCGGCGGCGCCGATCCACTTAGCATGACCATAGCGGGTGGGCAGTACGGCTTGCACGGCGCTGCTGCGCGAACCCCCGGGCCCTCTTCCTCAACGGCCTTTCGCTTCGGGTCCTCCAGCGCGAGCGAGCCTGTCTTCGGAATTGTAGCCCTGGACGCAGAAGCACAACAGCAGAAACGCAACGGCGGCAGTAGCAGGAGTGGCGGCGGTTTCGGCAGCCCCCTCTGTGGAACGACGCCGCTTGCAGCATCAAAAACATCCGCTGCCGTCGCCGTGACGGGCCGCAAGCGAAAAGCCGAGGAGCAGGTCACCCCTGAGCCCATGGCCGTAGACCCGCCGCGGCCACAGACCCCTGCTGCAGCCACCCCTGGGGGCAGTGGTGTTTCCTGCGGTGACGGGCTGACGGAGCCGAAGCGGCTGCGGCTGGAGAGGTACGGCAACAGCAGCGGCGGCGGCGTAGCGTCGCCGCTGCCGGCTGCTGCCGACACCCAGTTGCGTGAGCTGGACCCCGTGGGCCAGCACAGGAGCTGGTGTCCGTGGATATACACAGGTATGACTCTGAATGAATCAATGAGATATGGTGGTCTTATACACGGATAGATGTTTTGGTTAACTGAATAGCTGATTAACTAAAACACGCAACTCCTGCAGGCGTTCGAAGTTGCTACGCCTGTTGCTAGCAGTAAGCAGAAACTGATGTTGGATTTGCTAAAATAATAACGAATATCAAACAGCGCCCGCGGGCGGGGGCCGCTAATATTTAGTTTTGTTGGAAGTGCAGTTAGCAATGTGTGTATGCACACACGGGTCCAGGTGTTGGAAAAAAAAGAACCTACCCGTAATGGATTATCCTGCCCTCTGCTAAATCATCCTTTCTCCCGCCTTCCTCTCTCTGTACCCTCCCGTCCCCGCCAGGTACACGCGATGCTCCTCATGTGAGTGGCTGGCAGCACATGTTGCGGGTCCTGTCCTCTCAGCAACAACAACAGCAACAAGTGCAGCTAGAGCAGCAACTAGTGTCAGTCGCGGGTGCGGCGCCCGCTCAGAGCGGCGTCGGGGAGGCGGCCCCTTCCACCGCCACTTCCGCAGCGGCAGCGAGCACCAGCACTCCAACGATGGCGATGGCGGCAGACGCCCGCAAGCTCAAGGACAGCGCCCTGGCTGCCATTCGTTCGCTGTAGCTGTTAACATTCGGTCCCATGGATTTGATGATGATGGGGATGAGGAGGATGAGAATGGGGTGACGAGGAGGATGAAATTTGGGGTGGTGATGATGTGGTGGTGGCGGTGCGATCCTGAATGACACGAACAAGATGTGGCCGAATATCTGGCGTGTCCAGGGAGGGTAGGGGAGGGCAGGGTTATACATATAGCTGAACATAGATGGCTGCCGCGCCTATAGATGACATAATGGTAACTGGTTAGTTAGTCGGTTAGTTGGATAAACGAACGAACGGATGCCGTCACAGTGGATGCAACAGAATCACGGCTTCGGCTTGAATTGACAGTTGGGTGGATGGTTGGCGGCTGCTTGCTACCTGCTCTCTGTGAAGTGGGCTCGGGTGAGAATGAATGAGGCAATGATCCATATCCTTCCCGTCGGTGGGGATTGAGTTTTTGATTAAGGATAGTGGTGTGGTGGTGGTGATGTTAAGGGTTGGTAAAAGGGTGGAGTGGGCTCCCGAGGAGTGGGGAAAGATAAGGTCGGGTGAGGAATTGAAATGCGGTTAGTAGCTCCTAACTCTAGGTTGTACAGTGGGAGGAGCGGTTGCGACTTTTTTATTAACCTTTGCTCTGTTGCTGGGAATAAGGATATGGTTCAGAGGAGCCCACCGCACTTGATTTCTCTTATTCTTTTCTTTTCGCTTCTTCATCTACACCTATGACATGATTCTTGTCGTAGGTTGTTGCCGTACACATGAAAGGATGGAAGGGCGTGTCGTGAGGGGGGTTTCACTATCTTGCAGACTGGCTTTGGAACTAACACTCTTTTCTTCCAGTATCAATCACCACCTCTTCTCCCCCCCCCCTCCCCGTCCACTAACGCTTATCTTGTGCCGATGGATTCCAGCAGCGACGAATCTGAACTCTAACGGCTGTGACGAGGACAGCTGTGAAGCAACCTGGTAACTTCGTCACGAAGCCATTCACGGCGAGGCTGCATTGCGTTTGAAGGATAAAGGAAAGCGGTCTTGGCAGAGGCTGCTTTGGAGCTCGTCCGGACGGGCGGACCGGGCTCCTCTTCGGTGGCTTCGGGCTTTTTCTTTCGGGGCATGGGCAACGCCCAGCCCCCAGCTGGGCTCTGTTGTTGTGCCATTTCAAGCGTGTTTGTTTTTGTCTTCCGGCGTTGGCCTTTCGTCTTTGCAGGTTGGTTGGCTGGTTGGCTGCAGTGTGTCATTGTTGGGTACCTCTCTCTCCCCTGCAATATCTCATTATCCGGTTCCGTGCCTAGGAGGAGGAGCTTTCTGTTGGTGAGAGGCCAAATTAATCAGGTTCTGTGGTCAAATGTCATGTCCTCCTTGGCACAGGGTTTCGGAAACTTGGAGGGGGGGAATAGGGGGGGCGGGGAGATGTGTATTTGCGCGTGATTATGGCTGGGTGGATGGAAGGAGGGGGAAATCTGTACAGGGAGTAATTGGTTACTTGCGTAATATGTGGTTAGCCTTCTTTCTAGTAGTAGTAGTAGTAGTAGTAGTAGTAGCCCGAAGCACCAAGTAAGACCGCAATCCTTGGTGGTGCGTAGGCCGTGGTAGACTTCACCGTAGATGAACCCTTCGTCTCGGGAGGTATTGGCGCACACACGATCTTCTACGAGAGATAGCAGCCCCAGCAGCCCCGCGGGCCTAGCCACCAGAGTGGTGCGGATGCGGGTGGGCACCAGTAGCATTGGCCCCCCGGTCGTCTTCCGCAAGGCTTAATCTTGTTCTCTTTGTTTAAATATACACGACATTTACATAGACCGTATATATATGCGAAATGTTAGTCGTACGTCCTCCGGTTTCGGTGGGGTCATATGGGCCGTGTCCTGGTATGTAATATGGCGCGATGGGTATGGTATGGTGTGGTTCCTATGCTTTCTATGCCCCGCAGAATGATATGGTGTTATCTCCGACTTGAAACCGGTCGAGCCTCTGCCCAGGAAGTCGGTTCCTTCATTGGGGTCCATATGTGCTAATTTTAAATTTGGGTCAAAAAATTGTCTGGCATAAATGTGCTACTTTGTGCGCAAGCTGGATGCGGGGAAACTCTAGGGCACAATTTTCAGTAGCTACCTAACACTTATTCATAACGAAAATGATGAAAAAATATATATAGTGTATGTGCTAGTTATTTCCCCAGATATTTTAACCAAGATGGTCACAGGATCCCCGTTGTCGGGTAACACCACCCATTCATCCCCAACCGGACTCCAATGACTCTGGCAGGAGACGGGAGGAGAGCCTCTTCGTTCTTTAGGCGGGCCCCCTCCCCAACCCTAACTTAACAACAAAAGATATCCGCATGTATACATACATAAATACTTACATACATACACCTGACAGTTCAATTCTGTCCAAACAAACTCGCAGCAGGAGCCTCCACTTGAGGTGCACCCGAATGACCCTCTCCTCTCCCACCTACCTACCTACCTACCAACGCCTGCCTCTCTACACACTCACGACTCCATCAGCATTCGCCACCTCGCCCTCGACCAACGGTCAGATGGGAGAAGTGTGTGTGCATGAGCGTGTGTATGTATACATTGGGGGGGTGTCAGGGTGGAGGAGAGAGGTGTCGGTGTGTTTTGTCGTGCTCGGCTTCTACCAGTCCGCTGTCAGTACCGACGGGGCCCCCTCCCAACCACCCTAACCATTTAAACCACCATTACCACAACCACTGCGCGAAGTTGCAGTACTAGCAGCAGCAGCGATAGAAGTAGGAGCAGCAGCGATATAAGTAGGAGCAGCAGCAGAAGAAGAAGAATGAAAGCAGGCGGGGCTGCTGCGAAAAACAAGCTAGCTGACTTGGTCCTCGTTCAGGCAAAGTTGGGCTTGCTGCCGGGCCCACCACCGTCCGCCCCACGCCCTCCGCCTCCCTCCCCACCACCACCGCCGCCACCGTCGCGACCGCTAGACGCAGCCGCCTCTCCGGCCTCTTGCCTCGCCGCCCACAGCTCGTAGATGACCGGCATCACGGACACGGCCACGATGCCGAGCACTACGAGCGTGAAGTTCTTGCGCACAAACGGCAAATTGCCGAAGAAGAACCCGGCACCTGCGCGAGTCGTAATAGAGCTGAGCCACGAAAAGTACCTCAACTACAGACCTTGAAGGTGCCACAACGTGCTGGGTTTCAACAAAGACAAAAGTAGCAATAATGTTGTTAATATTCCAGTGGTAGAAATAATAGCCGTGGTAATAAGCGCAGTGGACTATTTTGACAAGATAATGACAACGGGGAGAGAGGGAGACGCCTGAGGGGGTGAGGGAGAGCCGGAGGCGCTGTGCAGTAGTGGCGATATGGACTACTGCTGGGGGGTGGTGGTTGTGATGGTGGGCGGCCAGAGAGTCGACTATCATCGCAATTTATACCCTCTGTCTCGCTTTCTCTCTCTCTCTCTCTCTGGCCCCCCAGTCCCCCAGTCTCTGCTCACAGCTCGATCAAAGCGACACACAAAGGGCGTTCTCCACAAACGGGGCCTCCGCCTCCCCCTGCACTCTTAACCACCACCCTCAATCAAGACTCTTACCCACGAACAAGAAGGTCCATAGGAGTGCTCCAGCCACATTGTACCAGGCGAACCTGCGCAAACAAACATACACACAAACATACACACAAACATACACAGACACACACAGACAGACACCAGGCATGTCATAACAGAAACCATCTCCCCACTTGCAGCCATATACGGTACGACAGATCAAAACGCTGAGGTCCCGCAAAGACCCCTTCACAGGCACCCTCTCTCTCCACCCATTTAACATACGGCACGTCGCCATTGGCTTCTCCAATGTTGCATTTCGCCACTTCCCCCTTTCCCCCCCCCAAACGAACCCAACCCCCCCCCCCGGGAGGGAGAGGGCGGGGGGAATCACGGAGCGCCATCACGTACGGCACCACTGTACAGCTCCAAGTGCCAAACACCAAAAGGAATGTCCAATGCAATGAATGACCACATACAACATTTTATTATCCTCTCCCCCCTCCTCCGGACGTATTCATACTTACTTGCCGTACGGCATGCTGCCAATACCCGCCACAAAGGGTGCAAAGGTGCGGACGATAGGCACGAAACGCGCCAGGACCACCGTCTTCCCGCCGTACCTGGCAGGGGTGGAAATGTCGTACATGTTTAAGTACGGTGAGGCCTCGGATGGGCGGTCGGCGTCACTCAGTCGTACACACGTGCACAAAACACACACCCACCCACATATGCACAGAGGGGATATGGGGGAGGGGGTCCGTCCTCACTTTTCGTAGAACTTTTCCGTCTTGGCGATGTGCTCCCGACTGACGACTCCTCTAGACACCGCCGCCTGGCCTATCCTGGCACCTGGGGGGTGAGTGGGTGGTCGAGTAGGACGGTCTGTGTATGTATGTTGTTACAGGGTGGTTAACTTCGCCAGCGGCCCCCTTTCCCGGGGCAGTCCCTGCTCTCCCCTGCTAGAGGGGCACCCTAATCCGTCACCCCATCCGACTTCAGAATGTATTCGTTGGGTTCGGCAACTCACCACCAGCATCCAACCAAATCTAGCGGATCAACGGCGCATCAACTTAGTTCCTGGTCAGCTCGCAAGTTGATATTATCACGTCCTACACCGTCCATATGATGGGGGGCCACCTCCCATTTCATCACTCCTCAAACACCCGAGGAGCTGGCAGGCGGATTTGAACCCGGGTCGACTGGGTCGACTGGGAGCAGAAGTCAGGCCTTGTATGTATGTGTCTGTGTATGTATGTGTGTGTGGGGGGGGGCAGAAGAGACTATCGCGCCACGATATGGTGTGGGGTATGCGCAGATGAACTGTTTATGTTGGGGGTTTGCGTAATGCCTGTAAGTAAATTGTTAGCTGGGGGGGTGTGATAAGGGGCTGGGGTGCAAGTTGGCGAGAGTGAGGTAGTGGGCGATATGGAGGCGGTGATGATAGGAAGGTAGGTAGGTGGTTAGTAAAGGATAATGGATGTGTATGCCTGTCTGTCCGTCTGGTCATATCACGGGATCTCTGCTGCAAATCTGCCGATCAGTAATTTCCTAAAGTCCTGATACAACAGCGTCTCTTTTTGCTTTTTTTGTGTGTATGTGTATCTTCTAAAAATAGCGCTTAACCATCATCATCGCATTCTTAAATTTCTGTGCCAAAAGTTGGTGTATGTCTATATAATTAATATACATATCAATCCTGCACACACATGTGGCACAGTACATATCGCCCCAGAAAAGACCGAAAGCCCCAAACCGAACCTGAGCCTGAACAGGCAACAGCCCCTGTCAGCCCCCGGGCTCCCCCTTAGGTACTGGAACCGACTCACCGACCGCGTAATTGACGGCGTCACCGATAATGGCGGCTACGATGAACACCCCGCACAGCACACCGACATCTAACTGCCCCATGCCTGTTTAGGATTGCGGGAGGCGGAACATCGTCAGTGAGCGAGTGAGTGAGCGAGTGAGTGAGTGAGCGAGTGAGTGAGTGAGTGAGCGAGTGAGTGAGTGAGCGAGCGAGTGAGTGAGCGAGCGAGCGAGTGAGTGAGTGAGCGAGCGAGTGAGTGAGTGAGCGAGTGAGTGAGCGAGTGAGTGAGTGAGTGAGCGAGTGAGTGAGGAAACGGAAGAAGCGCGCCAACCAACCAGCACGGAGAGGGGACGAACGGCCGAAGAGAATGTGGTGGGTAGGCGTGTTTGTGTGTTTGTGGGGTGTGTGTGCTGAGGGGTAGAGCTGATCCCCCGGGTCAGTGGGAAGCGAGTGTACGGCAAGTACGGTAACTAATTCTGCGGGCCGTGGCGGCTCAGCTCTTAAAACAACATTAACAACAACAACATTAACAACAACAGACATCCTTGACGCCCTTCTTTTGCAGAGCGATCAACTAGATATAGTCTCAACCTCGCAATCAGAGGCATCAGCTCTTCCGGGGGGTGAGAGACATGCCTTCTTCCGTCGTTACGCAAAATAAAGGAGGCGAATTAAAAAAAACAGTTCGGCCAAGCCTCCCCTGCAGTACAGGCAACCGTGCAAGGGACACATGCACATATCTTAACCGCTGTCTGTTCCTTTCCCTGATTTCCCTTTGCCATTTCCATTTGCCATATCCTGCCGCGCCGTGTCGTGTCGGGCCGTGTCGTGTCGTGTCGGGCCCCATTCCACCCTACTCCTCCCCCTCTCTTGCTCCACACAACCCCCGGGGGTAGGCGGCGCCTTATGAAGCACCGGGTTGCTGAGGGCCTCCTGAGTTCCCCTGTCCGCAAGCAACAAGTTAGCCGCCAGCCACTCCCAAATACTGATCATACCAACTGTCTACGATCAGAGATTTAAGAATATTGTTTTTCTGCCGATTCCTTTGTATTATAGTGCATTGTGCCTGAAGCATTGCTGCATAAAGAACACAATCGCCTCCCCTCCCCTCCCCGCTGCCGACATTTGAATACTGACCATATATCAGTGTGTACCTCCCCCCACACATACAGACACACATACAGACAAGATGCAGACACACGTAAACTCCCCCCCCGTCCTGCTGGATGCCTCGCACCACCCACCCGCAAACGCCCCAGCGGCGAACAATAAGGAGTCTCCGGGCAGGAAGGGCGTAAGCACAAGACCCGTCTCCGCAAACACAATGGCGAACAGCAGGCCGTACACTGACTTGGCGCCGTACTGGGCGATGAGGGCTGTCCGGATGCGGGTGGTTAAGGTGCAAGAGAGAGAGTGCGAGAGAAGGGAAGGGGGAATGTAGGGAAGCTTGGGAAAGCAAATCCATTTGCAGTGGTCCCCGTCAGGAAGACCAAGCACGGGGGGCCTTGCTACAGCACTAGGGATCTGGTGCTGTTGCGGCAGCTTTTTCATGGCGTTGACATATGCGCACTCTATTTTCCGGAACTTGCCACCCGGAACTTGCCAGCAAGATGCTTGTCCAGATGGAGGATGAAGCTTAGCAGCCCAGCCACGGGGTTCCCGCCGGCAGCGCCTGCAGCAACTTCACCCGCAAAGGCTGCACCGGGCAAGGCCGCGGTGAGAAGTGCCGTGGCTGCTACCGTGCAGGCGATGCACGACAAAGCACGCATGGCAGCTGCGACCCGAGCTGCCGCAACAATTCGAGCAGACGAGTTTGCGATTGAAGTATTGTTGCATCCAGATGCGGCGTCATTCTGATGGTGGTCAAGCTGACCGTTTCCATCAGGCGCTGCGTTAGTTAGGAATGACACCAAGGCCGACTTCGAGAGCGATGTGCTAAAGAAAGGCTTCCTAAGGTTTGCTACATTTCTCTGATGAACAAGACAATATGAGCAAGGATCGACTACGTGCCCACGACGTTGGGGCAAGGCTACTCGATGAGCCCGTGCCAACACGCCGTTCATTCCTGTCCCTGAAACAACCTTTTCAACTCCAAATTTACCAGTTTCAAAATGATTGCCACATGCACGTTTCTTAGTAACCTCATGGCTTTGCTGCCTTAAGTACCGTACAGCTCTTACCGGTAGGGGTGTCGGAGCCGAGGAACACGCTGCCAAACACCGCCGCGTTTTCCTCAACTCCTTTCTTATATGCCAATGAACCAATGCTCCATCCATACTATCCTAACGCCCTTTATACTCCGCATCGTGGACCTGAGGATGTGGAACAACGCACGCTATGCAGTCCAAGTAGCCAATTCGAACTGGGGGGAGGGCTGCGAGGAACGGTATGGCGTCGCATGGCTAGCCTGGCTGGTAACCACCAGACAACTGAGCATTACCAGCCCACTAAACCACGAGTGCATGGCGGTTTGACCGCTTAGTCCCCATAAACCCCCCAGAGGAGCACCACGGGACGCTGGTGCAGCTTGCCTCCCTGCATTTTGGGCTTCTTTCAGCACTTTGCAGTTGCCATCCCCCTGCTGCTCCCTATGTTTTACATGCTCCCCAACCGAACAACAAAGGCGCAACTGCTAGCACCGCCGGGACATCATCCAGGGCCCAGCAGGCCCCCAAGCGCCAGCTTTAAGCGCCTCGAGATGATGTGCTCTCTGGCACGGCACAGCTGTCTGATACTATAATTATCCTACTGGCCGCGATCTAAGGCGCCCAGGCGCATCTACAGCGCCCATAGGAATTACACAGGCAGGTGGACAGAGGCTTCCAGTTAGGAGCTTCCCCTGCTATCTGTCCCGTCACTTCATCCGCAAGGTCCGGAAAGTTTGTCCCGCTGCAAAGGAGCTAGGAGGAGTACTGTGGGGTCCCGCGACGAAGAAAATTCCGCCCAGTAATGCAACGCGATAACAGTTCCCCCTTGGGTGACCACACGCGCTCAACCGAGCCCTTGTGCTCGTTAAAGCTTCTTCGCTCGCCCCCGCACTCTCGCCCGCAAAATGCGCGCCCCTGTGCGCAACCCGGCCCACACTCTGGTCCACATCCCTAAGTCCCCGTATAACGCGATTCACGCGCTAATCGTGTCCTCCCCGACACCCTTTGGCTTCTCAGCGCTAAGCCAGAGGCTTGTCCTGCTCATCTTTTTTCCACCCGCAGCAGGAGCCATGGAGCTTAATTAAAGATTTGTGCAGATGAATCCGGAGTAGGTGAATATATTGATCATGTTTCATCTAGCGGGCATGTTGACGAAAAGCGCTTGTAGTATAGTGTAGTACGTCGGCCGTCAACTGCAACCGGAAAAACTATTTGGCATACCCAGTCAACACCCTGGTGGACCCAGTTGGGGAAAAAGTTCCGTTGCCAAGCTCGATAACCTATTGCCTTGCTTTTGCTCATCCATGGATACTACAACCCCATTTCCTTGACTGCATGAAAGACAAGCCTGTAAGGCAACGTGTTCAACTCTCTAATAAAAAAATAGCGAGGGTGATCCTGCAGCTCTTGAATCTCTACTTTTTTCAGACGTGCTATTTCGCGATAGCTTTATCTCCTGCAGCTGGGTTGCAGCTTAGGTGTACTAATATTTTGACTCTTTAATTCATCGACACATTCTTGATATAGCTGGGCGCCCATCAGATTCCAGGTGTGTGATTTTGGCATGTTCTGACTTTTGGTCAACGATGAAGGAGGAACCTGTTTCATGGGACAAATGCGCTTACGTGTCATTTTTTAATTATATAATCCCTTCATGCTGCGTCAAATGGGACTTTCATATTCAGAAGTCGACGGGGGTCGACAACAACAGTCTTAAGTATCCACGTTTCTGCACAAGCTCTAGCATGTAATCAATTGCATATGAGTTTCGAAGAAGAGTCTTGGACGGGTTGACCCTTCATTACCAATGTATGGCGACCGGACTGTTTGTCCCATCCAGGATGCCTCGTGGCAACGATCGCTCGATGCCCTTCCAAGGCACCTAAAGGCCGCTCAAGAGAATATTTATTTTTGCTGCGTCCTGATGCAAGTTCAAGGTTGGACAGATACTCGCATAAAACTGGAGTGAGAGGCGAACCCGGCGCAATGCACGCAACCTAGGGACGTGTGTTCCTATGCCAACTAATTTATATTCTAAAATGGAGAGCCAAGAATTTGTCCGGCAACTACCACAGCTGGAACCTGCTGCTGCTGTCGGAGTGGTTGGCGTTTGGCGCTGCACGGAAATCGTGACAGCCTGTCTAGGATATGACAACTGCGTCACTACGACGCTTGCCGCGCTGGCAACTTCTAGCTACAGCCCTAGCTACTATAACTGTCCAGAAACTGTGACGTCTTTGCTACGCGACGTTGCGCGGAACCAAGCCGCGGAGCGATGCCCGTACAATATCAAAACATCTCAATTACCTGACGGAAACACCCGTCGACAGCCACAGCCACCTCCGCCAACATCGCTCTCATGGGCCCACCAACCACCGCTCACACGCTCCCACAGTCCAACCCCCAACACAGCAGCGGCCGCTTGCGAACCTTGCTCGACTGAGCGACAGCCTGAGCGCCATGGTGAAGCCACAGCTGCTGTACCACAACAACATCCCCCCAGCGGCAGCAACGGCGGCCGGGAACCTGTCTGCACTACCGCGAATCTCACCTATGACAATGCGTCCATAGCGGCATGCTCTTCCAGCCCATCATGCAGCATCAGCACCATTGCCAGCATCAGCAACATCTGCAGCAGTGGCAGCTCCAGCTGCAGCACCTGCCGCTGCGGCGGCAGCGACGTCATCCACCCGCGGCGGCATCAACCCCCGGCGACGTCGTCGCCGCCACGCCAGCAACCTCGCCCCGCTGCGGCAAGATCGCTGTTGCTGCTGCTGCTGGCGGCGGCGGCGGCCTGTACGGCGGCGGCCGCGGCGGTGGGTCCGCCGTACTACCTCAGTCCCCTTGACCCCATGTCCATGTGCCCCACCCTCCAGACGGACGCCTACCTCAACCAGACCTGCACCATGCAGTACCTGGACTCCGCACCACCCTGCACCATCCTGGTGGCGTGTGCCGACTGCATGGGTGGCTCCACACTGTAAGTGTTGAGGGGTGTGAGGGTCTGGAGGTTGGTTGGATGGAGCAGCAGCAGCAGCAGCAGCTTGGGAAAAGGGGGTTAAGACGAGCCACTAGGCGAATGAAGCTGATACCAGAGGTATGCGGATAGATAGCCCTGGAGGAGATAAATGCGGCAAGGAGGAAGGGGGGAAGGCCTGGCCGTGGGCTCGTGGCCGGTGGGCTCCAAGACATCCTTCCTGGTTCCCGGAGCGTCCGTAAAGGCCTCCGGGAGTTGTGTGTGCGTGGGTGGGCGGGTGCATGCATGTGTGCGAGCTGTGAGCCCGGGCACGCGGGCATGTGGGGCCAATGATGTGTGGGGCCAATGATGTGTGGGGCCAATGATGTGTGGGGCCAATGATGTGTGGGGCCAATGATGTGTGGGGCCAATGATGTGTGGGGCCAATGATGTGTGGGGCCAATGATGTGTGGGGCCAATGATGTGTGGGGCCAATGATGTGTGGGGCCAATGATGTGTGGGGCCAATGATGTGTGGGGCCAATGATGTGTGGGGCCAATGATGTGTGGGGCCAATGATGTGTGGGGCCAATGATGTGTGGGGCCAATGATGTGTGGGGCCAATGATGTGTGGGGCCAATGATGTGTGGGGCCAATGATGTAGCGTAGGGACGGGGCATTAGGAGGGGGTCGTCGTCCGGCCCGTGAGGCCCGTGGGGGGGGAAGGACGAACCACGAAGGAGTGAAGCTGGCGTGGGGGGAGCGTGCTGCATTTTGGCTCTCCGGCATCTCATCCCCGGGGGGGCAGGGCAGGGTCGGGTCAGTCCGCTAAGGATGAAGCTGTTCGGGGGGCCATGAGTGAGAAATCTGGGCACCGTACGCTGTGCACGGTGTGATCATTGAGATGGAGAGGAGGAGGAGATAGGAGAAGGAACGGGGCACTACTACCACCACCTTCACCACCATCACCACCATCACCACCTTACCACCTTACCACCACAACGAGCTGCCATCCGAGTCTTCCTTTTGTTTGTTTCCCTAACTAGATCTGTGTGTGTGAGCAGCCGGCTTTCCTTCTTTCCCCTCCCCCCCACCGAAATCCTCCTACCTGCCGCGGCCGGTCCCACACGTCGCGTCTCGCAACCCCCGCCCCTCTTTCCCCCCCCCCTTTCCCCACCATTTGACACAGACCCACATGGACGGTGTACGTGCTACCAGATCGATCCACCACCACCGCCTCCAAAACTCGGATCCTGTGCCCCACCTTCAGCCTAAATGACGACTACATAGCGGAGCTCAAAGTCATCTTCAGGCTGGGGGACACGTGCCCACCGGACACCAGTACCTTGGAGTGCCTGAGCGTGCCTTCGCCGCCGCCGCCGCCCAAGCCGTCGCCACCCAGATCGCCGTCGCCGCCGCCGTCACCGCCGCCGATCTCCAGCCCTCCGCCGCCGCCGCCAAGCCCGACGCCGCCGCCAAGCCCTCCGGTGCCGCCGCTACCTTCACCGCCGCTGCCACGGCCGCCTGCCCCTGGAAACCCGCCGCTGCCGCCAAGCCCCAGCCCGCCGCCGCTGCCGCTGCCGCCGCCTAACCCGCCAAGCCCTCCCCAGCCGCCCCAGCCGCCCCCACCAGTGCCTCCGTTTTTTCCGGGATACCTTTTCAATAACGGGACGGATGCAGTTATACAGCTGCCACCGCCTCTGCAGGCACCACCGCCGATACCTCCGTCCCCGCGCCCGCCGCCGCCACGGCTACCGCCATTGCCGCCACAGCCGCCGCCACCACCGCCGCCACCCCCACCGCCGTCTCCCAGACTGCCGCCACCGCGGATCCCAGCTCAGCCACCACTCGAAGTGTTAAGATACTCTCCGCCGCCGCCGCCGCCATCGCCACCGCCGCCACCGCCGCCGCTGAGCCAGACAAACATCAACCCGGCACCAAGACCGCCGCCGCCACGGCCGCCGCCGCCACCTGCCGTACTGGTGTCGGTGCCTCCAGGATATCAGCTCTCCAGCTATTACGGCGTCGCCTCAAATCCCACAGCGGCGCGGCTCAAAGCAGTCTCAACTAATATTGCCGTACAACTGGGCTTGGAACCGGGCGCGGTGAGCAGCGGGGTGGCCAGCGCGTTCGTCGCGACGGTTTACTCCGTGTACACGTCTCCGGTGAATCTCGCCAGTCGGCACCATCGCCACCATCGCCGGCGGCGGCGTGGTCTCCTCCAGGCCAATACGACATCTAACCCATCCCTGCTGGCCGCCAACGCCTCAATTGCATCGCCGCCGCCGCCGCCGGCCGAATCCCTCCGTCCGCCATCACCAGCACCGGTCAGTTCGACTATAGGTCCCCCGCCGCCAACCAACTCAACTTCCTCTCCACCCCCGCCAACCAACTCGACGCTTCGTCCGCCACCGCCACCGTCACCGCCACCGTCGCCGCCGCCGACCAATTCGACGCTTCGTCCGCCACCGCCAACCAATTCAACTTCCCCCCCACCGCCAACCAACTCAACTTCCTCTCCTCCCCCGCCAACCAACTCGACGCTTCGCCCGCCACCGTCACCGCCACCGTCGCCGCCGCCGACCAATTCGACGCTTCGTCCGCCACCGCCAACCAACTCAACTTCCTCCCCGCCGCCGCCAACCAATTCCACGCTTCATCCGCCGCCGCCAACCAACTCCACACCTCGTCCGCCACCTCCTGCCACATCCGTACGGCCGCCGCCACCCCGGCCGCGGCCGCCACCGCCGCAATTAGTCGGCTTCGCTGGTCCGCCATCGCTCCCGTCGGGTCCATCAACGCCGAGAGCTCCGCCTTCCCCTCCGCCCGCGCCGCCATCACCGCCAGGCTGCCTTTCCTGCACCCAGTCATTGCTACAGGTCCTGCTGCCCAGCATTTGCTCCCAGCTGGATGTGGCGGATTGCAGGTAGGGGTATACAGGATGGATTGATGTGTGGATCGATTGATGTGTGGATCGATTGATGTGTGGATTGATGTGTGTGGATGTACATAGGGTTATTGAAAAATGGGAGACGTCTTGACTCATAACAGCATTGAGAAAAAACGTGTGCAGTTACAGGAGCTGCGGAGGGCTGCGTATATGTGGGCTTAGTCGTGTGGTAGTGGGGTGTTGGGTGGCCGCTCCCTCACACCGGCCTGCCCGGGCTCCCTTCACCCCGCTCCCTCCCCTTTCCCCACTCTCGATATTCCCCTCTCCGGAGGATTTCCGCGAGATCAGCAGCTCCTCAGGCAAACCCATCCCAACCTGACCCCCGCGAACCCGCGAAGTCGTCACACCGCACTCACCAAGTTCATCGGACCTGACACCCTAGCGCCCCCCCTCCCTCCTGTCCTCCCGTCCTCCTGTCCTGCAGCAACATCCTCTCTCACCCTTCCTCCCCACGCTGCGCCGTTTGCTCACTTCCCGGTCTCCGGCTCTCTCTGCCACACGCTCCCGCCCCCGTTGTGCTTCTCTGTCTCTCTCTCTCCCTCTCTCTCTCTCTCTCTCTCTCTCTCTCTTTTTCTCTCTCTCTCACCCCTGTGTGCGCTCTTTCCTTTCCAAAACACACACCACGCACACCACGCACACCACGCACACGTACAGCACCATTCGCATGGCCTGCGTGCGGCCCACCACCGACATCTCCGGCGCCTTCCCAGCGCTCCCCTCCACCGCCACCGGCTACACCGACAACTGCAGCGCCCGCGTAAGCACCGTCTTCTACATCAACGACCTGAGCCAGCAGGCACCACTGGCGCTAAAACTGCTCACCACACAGGTGTGTATGTATGTAATGTATGTATGTACGTATGTATGTATGTGTATGTATTGTTAGGAAGGAGCACGCCCACATGTGTGTGATGAAGAGGGGAATGCCGAGGGGATTGGGGGGTTTGAGGAGGTGAGAGCTGTCAGGAGCTTGAGCATGTGTGTCTGCGTGTGAATGTGCAAATACGTGTGCAAATGCACTTGCACGCGTGTGGTGTTAAGTGCGGCGTCTCATGCCGAGAACACGACATACTGGTGCTATTGCCCATAATACTGCTGCTGCTGCTGATGATGATGATGGTGACGATGATGGTGACGATGGCGGTGCTCCCTCTCTCCGCTCTGTGTGTGTATATATGTGTGTATGTGTGCAGGTGACTGTCCCCGGCTACGAGATTGTGTCCCCGGACAGCACCAGCGAGCTGCCCGTGTCCTCCGCAGTGCTCGTCAACATCACCAACACGGGCACCACCACCCTGACCGTGTCAGATCAGGCGGTGGCTAGGTCCATGGGGTCCACGTTGGGGCTGACGGGAAGCCAGGTGGGCGCGTGTGTATATGTGTATATATGTGTGTTTGCGTGTGTCGGTGCCTGTCTATCAGTCTGTCTGTCCGCTTGTGGGTTATAGGCCTGGGGGTTCTTGGTGTGAAGTGGGTCGAGAAGTATGTGCACTGTGCTCTGTTGTGTTGTGTTGTCTGGGCGGTAATGTGGATTATTAGTTGTTGGTGAGTGCACATTGGTTACGTGCGGGGCGGGTGGGGGGGGAGTACACAGCCGCCCAATTATCATCAAGCCAAGCAGCGCTAATGTTGCTGCCAAGTACACCTCAAAAAATTGCTGCTGCTGCCTCAACCTAATTATACAATACACAGCTCTCATGTGAAATGCGCACAGGTCGTCATCGTCACGGGTGCTGACGGTTTCACCAACGGCGCCAGCAGCTACGTGGTGTCGCAGGTGCCCTCGCCGCCCCCCCCGCCGGGTGCGCTCTGTGAGGACCCCCGGTTGGGCAGTCTGTGCGGTGCGGAGGCGGTGGGGGCCATTGTGGGCATCATCGCGGGAGGCCTCCTGTTGCTGGCGCTGCTAGTGACCCTGGCGTTCTGCCTGATTGGCAGGGTGAGAAGGGCGGGGGAAGGGGGGGAGGGGGGGGAGGGGAGGGGAGGGATGAAGGGGAAGAAGCCGAGCTTGGGTGGGAATGGGAGCTTGGGTGGGTCGTAAGAGTTGATGGGGGGGGGCTGTATGTGGTGTAATTGGGTGTGTGCGCCAGCGCGATATAGCCTGCATGGATGCGGACGTGCTTGATATTTTTGTCACATGGGGCCGAGAGGCGCGAGGGAAATCACGAAACACGCGACCAACCCCGTTGCAGCCGTTCCACTCCCTCTTCTTCCCCTCGAGGGGCCGAGGCGGCTGTAAAGGGGCTGGTCGCGTGCTTTGGGCGTACGTACGTGTCTACGCGTCCCTTTACTCCCATACCCTAGTGAAATAAAATCCTCCTTCGTACCAGAGATATACATGCACTCCCCTCCCACCTGGACCATTTTCAACCCCCCAGCACATCTCCTCGGCTGCTGCTGTTAATACTGATGATCATTTCGATGATAATGACGATGGTGCTAACGCAGACATTTCCCCGCGCGTGCATGTGTGTGTATGTGTGTGTGCATGTGTGTGTATGTGTGCGTGTGCGTGTGCGTGTGCATGTGTGTGTATGTGTGTTACGTTGCCTGCCAACCCGCAGAGCCGTCAGCCGGTTCTGCCGCTGGACGACTACGCCTGGGTGCAGAAGTACGCGCCTGTGACGCCGGGCATGTCGGCCGCTTACGCGCCGCCGGTGTTTCGCGCATCGCCCTACTCCGTCGACTTGAACCAGCCCGCTTACTATTACGGCACCGCCGTCATTCGGGAGTAAGGCAGGAGCGAACCAGTCGTTGCTCGCAGACTGATCCATCCCGTCTGTCTGTTTGTATGTCTGCACCTGATGTCTATTGTGCTGTGTGTGTGCGCTGGGTCTGCATGCAAGCAACGGGCCTGGACGAGGCTAAAGAAAGCAAAAGATAATCACTGCCCAACGCGCGCTTGAGCTGTTGCCACCAAACTTGTGGTTCCTGTCCCTGGGGCCGTGGTGTCCTGCTCGGGCAGGGCAGATAGCGTCAGCTCGGGAAAAGGGGGCATCATGGGCGGGGATGTTAGGCCAATGTTTGAGACAACGGCAACACACACACACACACACACAGACACGCATGTGAGCGAGCCAGTTGCAATGCTGTTAGGGTGCATGGCTCTACCCACCTACAACGACTTGGTGATAATGCTGTGCGATTATTAAGATGCCGTGAGGCAACATTTGAAGGTGGTTGTTACAGTGGGCTTGGGCTTGAAGGGAATGAAGAATCTAATTGGACAGATTGAAGAAAAGCCTGTGTGACTTGAGATTCCACTGGGGGTGGGGAATTGACTTGACGAGGCCCTGGCCTGCCGAACTCGCATGGTTTAGTAATATACCAGCCACACCGTGTTGCGTTGACTCGTGCGAACGAACCGACGACGTGTGCATGGCAACAGTGGGAGATGTTGACCGTTGACCTCTGCCGTACAGTGGTTATAAATTTGTGCACTGCGGTTGACTGTGTGTATATATGACTCTGCTGACCACACATAGGAGAATGCTTTCCCGCACCAGGCGTTTGTGAAATATTCTCATGTGTTTGTGTGTGCCCGATGTTTTTGGAGGCAAGCAAGTGCATGTGTGTCATGCATGTGTGTACTGCGTTTGTGTTATAAATGCCATGTTAGTCGATGTATAGAAGATGTGTGAAGATATGAAACAAAGTGGGCAATTGTTGCCATTGTTACATGGACCTGGGAGGCTCCTGTTCCTCAGATTTCAAACTTCCATCACCTTTCCAAGCTCTGGTACTGCGCCGCGGGACGTCGCTGTTTTCACCATTTCCGGCCAGTTGAGCGACCACCGTCCACTCGTCGTCGTTCCAACCGGCCTGGACAGGGGGGCCAGCTTTTTATTAGCAGCAGCAGCAAGGATGAACCAATAAACATCGGTTCAACCAGCCGATGTTGTTGTTGTTGTTACAAGGTCGTGGGTGCGTTCCCCGTACCTGCAAACCACCCTAATACGAGCCGAGGGCTCAAGGGCCGATGTGCAACACGACCCCGTAGCCGGCACACCCAGCACTAGTTCTGCATATGTAGTCCTCCAAGCAAAAAGAACATGCATTCGTGTGCGAGCAAGCCTAGCTATAAGATCGTTTGGTGTGCTGATATCGGTTATTAACAACGCAGTACGACATGGGATTTACGCAGTACAGCGCACGTGCTTAGGGTAGAAATTCGCAACCACAAGGGGGAGACCCCTGACTCACATACACATGCATTCATGCCGGTCGACTGGGTGCTGAGTCAACACTGTTGACTGGGTAAATCAGTTTGGCTGTGTCCGTATTCTCCGTGAATCTATTTGACTCACGGCCCCACCACCAAACGCGGGTGATTTCCATTTTCTGACAAACATTAAAGTATAGTAAGGGACGACCATTGCCCCCGGGAGATCCCGGGATCGATACCCGTTAGGGTCAAAAGTCCTTCCGATGGTGGAAGGCATTGCGCCCCTAGTAGATGGACGGTGGTGACCTGGGATAAAGTTAACCTGCGAGCCGACCAGGAACGGAGTTGGGCCGCTGTCGACCCGGCAGATTCCGTTGGATGCTGGTGGTGGGTGCGGAACCTGAGCGATCAACTGAGAAGTTGACTAGGGTGACTGGATGAGGGTGCCCCGAAATACCGGGGAAGGCAGGATTTCGCAGGTTAGCTGCCACGGGCGAAGATACACCCCCCTGTTTCACACATCATTAAAGTATGGCCGATTAACCGTTTATGTAAGCTGGAGGAGCTGGAATCGCTGGATTTTGGAAACCGACGTTGCCAACTCTAACGTGTACGCCCACGTAAAATGCCGCAACGGTATTGCTCCCGTGTTGGTCGCAATCCGGCTGTGGTGTACCGGGAAAAGCTGGGGAGGCCGCCCGTCGCGCGTTTCCTAGGTCGTCGTTGCCGCGCGGTTGCGGTATCAATGTATCCCGGGGGAAGGAGGTGCTACAAAGCAGAGAATTAAGTTCCAGCCCTGATGTGATTTTAACGGCATTGTACAAACTCTCTGCATTACTTGCGCGCGGACGTGCGTAGCAGGCTCCAGTTTTATAACCGCTTCCGTACCAACAGTTACATCCCCTAACTGATTCAGGTTACCGTTTTCAACAAATCATACCACCGATTCGATACGGTATAATGGAGAATAAACTTTATGTAAAGAACTGGTTTGGTTGATGCAAATGTGCGTCTCCAGTTCCCCCGAATCCCGTTTCTTACAGTGCCTGTCGTTGCCGTATACCGGATTCTACTATCAAGCGACAGAGAATCATAGCTGTGCTTAATGTGCATATATATTTGCATGTGTGCCCAGACTTTCACGTTGCATTCCTAAGGGCCATCTGTGAGAGTGGCGTATCCTGGTCGAATGCCGGAAGTTCTACAACGAAGCAATTAGAGACGCTTCGCCGCATAAAACATTATTTTGCATCATCAGCGCACTGCATACCTCAGCTTAGATCTCCTTTCTGATTGCGGTGTAGCTGTCGAGTTACCTCGAAGGGAGCTTGGCACTGATACGCAATCGAGCTAAGCAGAATTTTAGTGCAACCAACATTAGCATCGAGGTACATACTTTAGGTGCTCACCTGCTCCGTATTGCTGCACTCTATCATCCGGCGACGAGGGACCCGTTGGGCTGCTCCCATCGGCTCGGTCTTCTACAGTGAGCGCCTTTCCCATCAAAGAAGTTCGCGCTAAGGATGGCTTATCCATCAATGCGGTAGGCGCGGGCTATGGCGTATCACCTGTCCCTTTTCGCGCGTTGGTGGCTTTAGCATGCCGACGTCCTCATTGCTGTGCTCAGTTTTCGCAATACCAACGCTGCCTAACTACGGTTTTCGCTGTCTAAATCTTTCCGAAGGCTTTTTAGGTGGATGTGTCCGTTGGCGCGCATATCCATCGAAACCCTAAAAGTAACGTGAACACGCGTGAACGTTCCTTACTGGACTTTTGCCTTCGCAGGCGCAAAACGTCGCGGTCGTCCAGCGCCACGACGGCACGGCATCGTAAAGTCGCCATACCGATATTAGCAGCTCTCAAGGCGACGGTTAATACCCGGTCCTTGGGACCTGTTGCGGGTGAGCCCAAGACCGCTTTCCAGAAGGGCGGTGAATTCTTCCACAAAGCTGTCGGGGCTTCCTCTTCCTTAATAGCGCCGTTGGTTGAAATTGACATCACGGCCTGCAACAATCCGATCTATTTTGTTAGTATGCGGGTGAGGCCACATATAATTTTAAGCTGGCGGACGTCAGCGCAGCAGGCGCACAGCGTAATGAGCAGGTTTGGGGCCGTACCTGACCTGATCTGCTCTTCCAGCAGATATATAGACCTCGTGAAGTCCGTTGTTCAATACGCTTCTCAACTATTGCTTGAAGGCCTGTAGCAACTCTTTAGCATTTCGTTTTCTTTTCTTTTCTTTTTTCCTTGAGCGTGTGAGCACAAAGACATAATCCTGGCGACGTGCAATGAAAATTTCCCTAAACTTCCATCGCTCTGCACCGCTAAATTTATGATAAATCCTTGTCGCGAAGAACTCTTCTTCTCATCGTCACCTCTCTCCCTCCCTCGCCTCCCTCACTCCCCCCGCCCACCACCCCGTCAAAAGCTTCCTCCACCGGGCTCACCCCTCCCCCCATGATTAACGACATTCCGTGTTCGTGCCAATGCCGTGCAATGCCTTTTCCACAGCGCGCAATCTCCACAGTCCGGGATTGGTTGGTTTGGGGTTGGGCTGGAGGCGGCGGCCGGCGACCAGCGCGGCGCCGGGGGATATTGCCGCCGCCGCCGCCGCCGCCGCCACAGCAGCAGCTGCTGCTGCCGCGTCAGACGGTGGTGCCCTCGACGGCGCCCTGACAGTGCCTGTTCGGCTTGTGGTGCCCTACCAGTCCACCTCTCACGGCCAGCAGCTGGTGCTGGTGGGCGGCTGCGAGGCGCTGGGCAACTGGGACGTTAAGAAAGGTGGGGCGACGTACAGCTGCTGCAGCAGCTGCTGCTGCCAGCCGGCACCTCCCAGAACCAAAACGTTTTATAAACTCAGGGTTTACGCCCACCACGCCTTGATCCCTTAACAATAGCATGACCGTAAACCTTCTAGAAGCTTCTCCTTCCTGGTCCTTCTCCCTTCCGCGCCGCCCTCTACTTCATTGTCATCTTCCCGCTCGCTCTACACCTTTCCTTCTCCCCCGCCATTGGCATATATGCGTGGCATGTATTCTTGAGCATAAAGGAAGTGTTTGAAGCGCACTTGAACTTTCCTTGTTTGTAGACGGCTCTACATTTGATTTCGTACTTAATGCCGTATATTCGTTGTAACTACACGCACGAGGTACAATTTCCCTCCTCTCGCTCCAACCACCGCCTTTCTTTCTCTCACCCTTCCTCTTTCTCGCTCTCTCTCAGCATGTGCGGGTTTTGCTCGGCCGGTTGCGCTGTAATAACAGTGATTGCCTAGCCCGTAATGCGCCAAGTTCAAGATGGTTGCGGTAGCAATATATGACGATGATGAAATGGGGGAGGTTGCAGTTACGGAAAACCGCCAGGACGAGGCAAGCCTATATGGGATAGCGTTACCTACACTACGACCACTACTGCTCTCCTCCGCGCACTGCCCGCCTTTTCCCCCTTCACACGGCCCCCCTCCCCCGTTTCCTTCCCTTGTTTCTGTGATTTGCGGCCCCTCCCCCTTCCCCCCGGTCGATGCCCGAATGGCCCCGGATGGGAACGTGGGCTGGTGCCCCAGGTGTCGAGTTCTCTTGGTGTGAGGGTCACAGCCACACTGCCGAAGTCGAGCTGCCCATCCACTCCCACATACCCTGCAAGCTGGTGGTGGTGGGACATGGCAACCAGGCCTTATGGGAGCCGGGTGCGTGTTTTGCGTGTGTGTGTGGGG